AAAACATGCAAGGGCCTCGCCATGTTGGTTCTAGCCCATGATAAATAAATTAATTTTTAATGCAAATCAAACTTCATGAGTTTCAGGGCCTACTTTAGAGCCTTTATATTTCCGTAATAATGTTTAAAAAGAATCGATACCTCCAATTCGGAGAATACTTTCCCCCGCGATTTGACCTCTCAGATATATATATAGGCTGACTCTTTCATATCACCTCAAGAAAAATCAATAAATAAATAAAAATTTTTATGAAAAATGAAGTTTCATGAGTTTTAGAACCTAGTTTATGACCTCCATAATCCCGTGATAAATTTTCAGATTTTACCACAGGAATATGGAGGCCGTAAAGTATTTCTTCAATTTGTTTCAATTTGTTTCAACAAAGCGATGCTCGTCATTCGCAAGAATACTTTCCCCAATGATTTGACCTCTCAGATACATATAGGCTGACTCTTTCATATCACCTCAAGAAAAATAAATCAATAAATAAAAATGTTGATGAAATATGAAATTCCATGAGTTTTACAACCTAGTTTAGGGCCTCCATATTTCCGTGGTAAAATTTGAAATGAATCGGTACCCCCAATTCTGAGAATACTTTCCCCAGCGATTTGACCTCTCAGATATATATAGGCTGACACTTTCATATCATCTCAAGAAAAATCAATCAATAAATAAAAATGTTGATGAAATATGAAATTTCATGAGTTTTACAACCTAGTTTAAGGCCTCCATATTCCCGTGGTAAAATTTGAAATGAATCGGTACCTCCAATTCTGAGAATACTTTCCCCAGCGATTTGACCTCTCAGATATATATGTGCCCATAATTATGAAAGTGGTCTAAGTCATATATTTTTTGTTTCGAAATTACATTGAATTAATTTCGTTTGAAATAATATGGCGTGAAATAACTGATAAATTCATTTTTTTTTTAATTTTGACTTAGACCACTTTCCTAATTATGGGCACATATAGGCTGACTCATTCTATCACCTTAAGAAAAATCGATTACTTCATCTCCGCGTTTTCCTTCCCAGCATTCTTCCTGGGGGTGGACCACGTACTTCCCCCTAGGGATCTCCGAACTTCGTTGTGGAGAATTATGCAAATTACCTCGGTACTCGTGTTTCTTCGCGTTGGACCGTGAAGAAGCACTCGGCTCAACAGCGAGAAGAAATTGCTAAATTTAATGAATTTTCCCCCATATGGGATGCTTAATAAAAGAGAATTGTTTCCCGAGATCAAACGACATATCAAAATTGAACAACTGTAGAATAATGCTTTCAGAACTCAAGCGTATTCGTTATTTCGTCTCATAATCTCTGACGTCTCGCAATTCCGCTCAGCATCTTTCTCGGTCGGGTCCGGGAGCTCATCCCGGGGGATCTCCGACCTCCGCCACCCTCGTCGTAGCAAATTACGCAAATTATCGCAATAACCAAGCTCCCTGGAATAAGATTCTGACTGGGAGGCTGAAAAATTAAAACAAAACAGAGAGGGTGAAATTAAAATCAGTCGGCAAAATTCAATTTGAACGCAATTCTTCTCCTGCGCTTTATTCTATCCCCCTGTCTGCCTTCAAATCGTGGACGCTCCAGAGATCGGTTCGATCGCCTAAGATTCCTTAAGGTGAAGTGAAACCCCCTCAAATCAGTCGATTTGAATATGACACTTTTTTTCAAGGGTATTGGATAGAACGTCTGAAACTTTGACACATGATTTTATCCTGACACTTTAAAAATTCGGATTTTTTAAAAAAATTCTTTAACGTGGTCCAGACCAGAACTACAATGTCGTCGAGCTCTTATATTTCGATCGATATTCAATTATTAATGGCTCTCATATGAGAAGCGATAGAGTCAGGACAACGGTGCGATAATTTAGAACACTCTGGTAATCGAGAAACTCGCATTTGAACGAGATAAAGGCAAAAAAAGTATCTTATGCGCTTCTATGCTAAAACGATGGGAATACGAGGTCCCGGAGAGAAAATTTAGTTCACGGGGAAATCACAGATGGCACAGGGGGTCCCTCTGCAGTCAACTAGGGCCTCAGGAACCATGAATGCAGGGAATTTCTGGAATTTTAGTTTGAATTCTTTATAATTATTGTGCAAAAACGACAAATGGAGTATGCCATTTAGTACAATACGCAATATAATTCTAATATGAGAAACGAAAGGGTCAGGACAATCGTGCGATAATTTAGAACACTCTGGTAATCGAAAAAATCACATTTGAACGGGATAAAAGGATGAAAAGTGTCTTATGCGCTTCTATACTAAAACGTTGGGAATACGAGGTCTCGGGGTGAAAATTTAGTTGATGGGGAAATCACAGATTGCGCAAAGAGTTCCTCTGTAGTCAATTAGGGTCTCAGACACCATGAATGCAGGGGATTTCTGTAGTTTTATTTCGATTTCTTTATAATTATTATACAAAAACGATAGATGGAGTATGCCATTTAGTACAATACGCAATATAATTCTAATATGAGAAACGAAAGGGTCCGGACAATGGTGCGATAATTTAGAACACTCTGGTAATCGAAAAAATCGCATTTCAACGGGATAAAAGGATAAAAAGTGTCTTATTCGCTTCTATGCTAAAACGATGGGAATACGAGGTCCCGGAGAGAAAATTTAGTTGACATGGAAATCACAGATGGTGCATTGTTGCAAACTGAAATTTGTACTTTTTACTTACTGTTGATGACATCGGCCCCTCTGTGCGTCATTTCGCTTTTATTAAACTGTTAACTTTGGATTCGCAATCAACGGTTCTAGAACCCCCCCCCCAATAGTAAATATCAACTAAGCTCAATGTATTCTTCAAAAACTGTTTCGCCATATCAAATCCACAGTTTTTTAAAATCCTAACGTCGGATTCGTAACCAGCAACCCCAAAATCGCCGCGAAAAATCGGAGGGACTTCTCGCCTCAACTGGAAAACGTTTTCTCCTTTTGGCCAGTTTCTCGAGATTTGACCCCGCTGCGAGTCCTCCAGAAATACATTTGATAATAAAAGTGAAATAAAATAAAAACATGTTATAGTCCCAGATGAAGCTTCATTAGAATAGGTGCCTCATCCTTTGCTTTACGGATCATCGGAACCGTCGTGTCATCGGACACGTAACAATAAAAATGATTCAACGCTAATCCAACAACTGTTCCATAATCTATCTAGTGCAGGTAAACTAAATATCACTAAACATCGCTAAAGGCATTTCGCCCCCAAAGCCTCGCATCCGCGCGATTGGTCGAGCGATCGTCGATTTCTCGCCACTCGCGCAGCATCCCCGCTCGGTCCAGGCGGTCTCTCCCTGGGGATACCCTATCTTCGGCGGCCTCGTCGTGGCGAATTACGCAAATTATCCCAGTATCCGTGTTTCCTGGTGCCGGGTCATGGCGGAGAGCTCGGGAAAGCCGGCTATTTCAAACGCGAGCGAGCGAAGTCGCGCCCGCGCGAGGAAGAGCGCGCTCTTCTGGGCGCGGTGAGAAGGAGCGAGAGGGAGCGAACGGGACGAAGGGGGGTTAGGGAGAGAAGAGAAGAGAGAGAGAGTCGGATGGAAAGGGGAAAAGGCGAAATACGGGGAGAGAGATCAATACGAGGTCGCTAGGCAACGAGCCTCCGGCGATCTCGGTCCGGGTAGACAGGGTGCCGCCACCGGCCCGATCCCACCCCCTCGCCGCGTAAGCCACCCCTCGACCCCCCCGCCACCCGCCGCTCAAGGGAAAATCGGCCGACGAACCTGAAGAACGTAGAAAGTAAGATCACCGGGGCTGCCAAGCCGGGTCGTTGGTCCTCGCGCTTTGGCTACCCCGAAATGGTGTCTTAAGGGGCGCACTTGTGGATTTAAACGCGATTTCGAGGAATTGGTTAGAAGAGGAGAGGGAGAGGAAGATTGACTCTTAGGATGTTCAAGGTAGACGGTTACGTCCGAAGGCGTGAAGGATCATCTGGGATGACAAATCCAGATTTTTGATTCTCGCGGTTTGGCTACTCTGAAATTGTGTCTTAAGGGGTGCATTTGTGGATTTAGACGCGATTTCGAGGAACTGGATATAAGAGGAGAGGGAGAGGAAGATTGACTCTTAGGATGTTCAAGGTAGACGGTTACGTCCAAAGGCGTGAAGGATCATCAGGGATGACAAATCCAGATTTTTGATTCTCGCGGTTTGGCTACCCCGAAATTGTTTCTTAAGGGGCGCACTTGTGGATTTAAACGCGATTTCGAGGATTTGGTGATAAGAGGGGAGAGAGAAAGAGAGAGAGAGATTGAGTCCTAGGAAGCTCAAGGTAGACCCTTGAGTCCCAAGGTGTAAAGGATCATCAGGGATGACAAATCCAGATTTTTGATCCTCGCGCTTTGGCTACTCCGAAATTGTGACTTAAGGGGCGCATTTTGTGGATTTAAACGCGATTTCGAGGAATTGGTTAGAAGAGGAGAGGGAGAGAAAGATTGACTCTTAGGATGTTCAAGGTAGACCGTTACGTCCGAAGGCGAGAAGGATCATCAGGAATAACAAATCCAGATTTTTTATCATCGCGCTTTGGCTACTCCGAAATTGTTCCTTAAGGGGAGCACTTGTGGATTTAAACGCGATTTCGAGGAATTGGTGATAAGAGGGGAGAGAGAGAGTAATTGACTCCTCGGAAGCCCAAGGTAGACCGTTTTACTTCGATTTCTTGATATTATTGTACGAAAACGACACACGGAGTATGCCATTTGGTACAATACCCAATATAACTCGGTATAGCTGTCGATATAAAAACGAACGTCGGCAACGTAGGCATTTAGAAAAATCTTCTTTATCGACGTTGATCAAGTTAATCGACGTGTTTCACTTCACCTTAAGGAAGGTAAAAAGGTAAAGCTCTCGCCAGCTTAAAATGCGTTTGCAAAGCTGAGTAATTCAGTCATTTATTGAAATAATCGAGGTATCAAATTTCGCAAAGTGTTGCAGGATTTCTCCATAACTGCAACCCGTGGCAGCTGTCACTGTGACAGCTGACAAAGCAGCGCCACGCCGCGCATAATCCAGTGCTCCGGTGGCTTCCTGGTCGGAAGCCAAACGGCAATAACAAAATTCGTAGAATGCCCGGTCGTCGAGAGGACCCCTCTTCTCTCGCTGGTTTTATAAACCGGACAAGTGTATGTCGGTCGTTCCTTCACCTCCTCCTTCGTCATGGGCACGAACCAAAGCTGACGGGAATAAAAAGAAATTCTCAAATCAAATAACTTCTACCCCATCAAAGGACATCTTCCCAAAGCCTTCGAGCAGGATTAAATAAATATGAAAAATTAAATAAATATCAGTTTAAATGCAGGCGTTTTACTGTTATTATTATATACGAAATGAATATTGCAAATGCGTACAGTTTGAATAACAAGGTGGAATGTGATTCTTAAGGTGAAGTAAAACCCTTCGCAAATCAATCGATTCGAATTGAGACATTTTTTTTCAAGGTGTATTGGATGGAACAGTCGGAAACTTTGACACGTGACTCGTGAGCACTTAGGAATTATCCTGACACTTTTAAAATTCGGATTTTTGGAAACAATTTTTTAACTTAGCCCTGACCAGAACCACAATGCCATCGCGCTCTCATACTTCGATCGATATCCAATTATTGAAGATTCTAATATGAAAAACGAAAGTGTCGGGACGATTTTATGACAATTTAGAACACTTTGGTAATCGAGAAACTCTCATTTGAACGGGATAAAGACAAAAAAAGTGTCTTTATGCTCTTCTAAGATAAAACGATGATAATACGAGGTCCCGGAGTGAAAATTTAGTTGATCTGGGAATCATAGATGGCGCAGGGGGTCCCTCTGCAGTCAACTAGGGCCTCAAAAACCATGAATTCACGGGATTTCTGGAATTGTACTTCGATTTCTTTATAATTATTCCACGAAAACCACAGATAAAGGGTGTACGGATGGAGTCATTTAGTACAATACTCAATATAATTGTACAAATCTGTCAATGAAAAGCGAACGTCGGCAATTCTTTACCAACGTTGGCGTTTCTTTACCAACGTCGATAAAGTTCCCCAAGGTGTTTCACTTCACCTTAAATAGCAGAGCATGGAACTCGGATTATTTACGTAGATAATAAAATACATAGAAAATATCAACCTAGACGCAATGAAACGTTCCACGTTGCATTCATTTAAAATAACAAGGAACATTATCTTTCGGTAACACAAGATACTTGCATATTACTGATTGTTAGTATATATAAATAGAATAATGAATTTGCTGGAAATGGTAACTGAAGTTTACCCTATTTCTTTTTTAACCATTTGAACACGGAGCCATTTCGACATATGGGCGAAATTCGTCTGACCGTGCAGGCAATATTGGACCAAACGTCGGGCGTCTTTAGGCGCTCTTACAAGGAAGGTACCTGAGGTTTCCCCTTCTGATTTTGTTCATTTTTAAATATGTTATAGAGGACTAAAATCTAAGGGACCCGTTTTTTTGCCGCCAACTTTGAAGCCTGATTTCACCCCCTAAAAGTGTTTATCCGCCGATAAGAAAAAACACGGGTACCTTAGATTTTAGTCCTCTATAACATATTTAAAAATGAACAAAATCGGAGGGAAACACCTCAGGTACCTTCCTTGTTAGTAGCCAAAGGGTTAAAATGCTACCTTGATAATTTAACATGGATATATGAAAGGCTGGAATATGTCGTCTCGAAATCTATAGATAATAAGAAATGAGGTATTCGTCTCACATAGGGCATGGTTTCCTGCAGGACTTTAGGGAACGACTCGTTCAAGGCCATGGTCTCCATGTCGAAGCGAGCCCCGTCGAGGAAAAGCCCGTAAACGTAGATTCCATCCTCTGGGGGTTTCACGAAGGCGGTCTCTTTTAGAGGTACGAAATCGTAAATCAAGAGATCGATCGGGATGGAGTATTTCCTGGCGTAGTTTTGACGAGCCCCGGTCAAAAAGGCCTGGGTAAAGTAAAAGCCAGATATCCAAAAAACTGGAGGTGGCCCGCGCTCTAGCCAATCCTGAAAATCATCCACATTTGAATCGATCCAATCATTTCCGAAAAAGCACTTTGCCACCAATCAGATAAAGTAAGAACCATCGGAACAAATAAAAATAACATAAAAATAATATTAATAGTTGTCTACAGTTACGTAAATAACAATGATGTTTAAATATACCGCTTTACCCTGAGGAAAAAATGTCATTGAATTTGAATTGATATTTGAATCGATCCAATCATCTCCAAAAAAGCACTTTGCCACCAATATAGATAAAATAAAAACCATCGGAATGGATAAAAATAACATAAAAATAATATTAATAGTTGTCTACAGTTACGTAAATAACAATGATGTATAAAGATACCGCTCTACCCTGAGGAAAAAATGTCATTGAATTTGAAGTGACATTTGAATCGATCCAATCATTTCCGAAAAAGCACTTTGCCCCCAATTTTTGCCACCAATACAGATAAAATAAAAACCATCGGAATGGATAAAAGTAACATAAAAATAATATTAATAGTTGTCTACAGTTACGTAAATAACAATGATGTATAAAGATACCGCTTTACCCTGAGGAAAAAATGTCATTGACCCAAAGAAATATTTCTTTGAATAGTAACAACGAAATATATTGTTAATTTAAAGAATCATTATTTGACTCAAACTCGAATAATTTAGATGCAACATTTCTCGGAATTATGACAATTTATTTGAGCCTATTTGATTCGAATTATTCTTTGAATTAACAAAATATTTCTTTGGTTCAACCCACCAAACACGGTTATGTAACAATGATATAACCGGTACATAACGTTTGTAACATGTAACGTAATATACACATATCAAAAAGTAAGATATGTATTACTACTTCCTCCGCAGCTATATAACGCTGTTATAAAACGAATAATGTAACGTGTACATAACATATCGGTAACATGTTATATGTTATGTTAATATTATATAACTGCAATGCTTACAAATTTGTAACAATGAAGTTTGTAACAATGTGCCGAAAGGTAATAATTCGACGTTATATGATATTAATGTACCTTTTGAATAACTATCATTACATATCATGTTATTCCAGTGTTATGGAACTGTAACATAGTGTGTGTGGTGGGAATGAATTCTTTCCTCAAGGTACTTTTTATATGCAAACGTCATATTATGAAACAGAAATAGTACATGTTCTTTTAGGGAAACGTGTATTATTTTTAATTAGAAATGTTAGCATAAAATGAGACAACTTTTCACCTGAAGAAACTGTAGCCTTCGTAAAAAATCATGCACATAGCTGCCAAGAGGCTTTAACGATGGATATGAACTCTTTTTCCAAAGATTTGGAATTCTTCCAGTGATAATCGACGCATATACTTCTTCCAACTCCCAGTTCATAACGATGAATCCTAAAATAGTAGACAGAAATTATAAAAAAAAAAAAGACGTACAAGAAAAAGTACCGAAATTTAGAACATTCCAAAAACAATATATTCGTCTCACCGATCAAAGTACTGAAAGATTATCAAATTCTAGAGCATATAAACATTATGAAATATTACAAAACATAAAACAACTACGGGACAATATATAATTAGAAATTATATGTACTAAAGAATAAATTTACATATAACTAGAAAATAAGAATAAAGAATAAATTCAATGATTTTCTTCCCTGAATGTTCGCAACTTCGTTTGCATGCATTCAATTTTTAAGTGCTACATGATACCTTTTATCGCGTTCTGAACATTCAAGAGACTGCTTCTTACTGTCTGCAAAAGCTTGTTGAACCTCCCCATCTCTTGAACCAAGACGGTGTTCATACTTTGTTTATACGAAGTTGGATATTTTTCAATAGCTAGAACGAGATCGTAGTCTCGTGGCAGCTTCGATAGGATGTCTTCAGCAACTTCATAAACAATATCGTCAGGAGATTTTCCTTCCCTATCCGCAGCGGCAGTGTCCTGAAATATTAATGAAAGGTTGAAAAAAGAAATGTTAAAAAGACAATTTTTTTTATCGACCAATCGTTTACATTTTTAAAGGCCTTTTTAATTTTAGAAAGTCACATGAGACCATACCTAGTTAAATTAAATTACCTTCAACTGCCTCTTCAGCAACTATGTTAGCAGCGTGGAAAAAAAGTATTAATATTAATGCACGAACTCGCATAAAAAATCAATTTAATAATTTACATGCCCATTTTACCTTCAGTGTCCACAAATCCTATTGCCGAAGCGATGGAAACAAACGATCAATTAATTTCTCCCCGCGCGATCAACTCGTTATTATGAAATCATAATTAATACAGCACTGGTTTATGTAAATTTAGCTTACCAGTCGATCCTAGGACGCAGCGGAATTATGAATCATTCATTAATTATAATATCGCAGTCGCTCTACATACTAAAAAGTCACAGTTTCGGTATTGCGCATGATTACCGATTGTTCGTTAAATGGAAACAATGAGGTGCTTTGTTATTGCGTATTCTTTTCACAGTATATAATTATTATCCCGACAATTATTGAAACCATTTGCTTCTTTTACTTTTTATCGTGAGAAAAAATAAAACCACGTGGTCTATCCTTTTTCTCATTTCTCGTGATACGCGTTGAATGTAGCTTGCAAAATAGAGTTTTATTTATCAACTAGCAGATGAAGTAGGCGTCACAGAGATTTCGTAAAAAACTCAGAAGACAAAAACTCTTAATCAAGACTAAAACGCCTGAAATATTTATTAGGAAGAGCTTCCGTCGTGACGTTTAAAAGCTCTCATCAAAAGGATGTTTTTAAGCGGTGCTTTTAAAGGATTATTTCTATCAGGGCCATGTTCTCCGAAGAGACGAACATTTCGTAATAATCCTTTTCTCAATATGGAAACATTGAGTTAAGGGGATGTGAAAGTGGCACACGAAAGCTCAATCGTTCATAAAACTTTTCTACAAACTGGATGTCTCAAATCGTTTCATACATTAAAACGTGAATATGGAGACCCTAAGATAGGTCCTGAAACTCGCGAAATTTTATTTTTTATAAACTATTTTTAAAATACCTATAAACAAATTACAAAAGAATTGAAATTTCATGAGTTTCAGGACCTTCCTTATAGTTTTCCTATTCACGTTGTAAAGTTTCAAACTATTCGGTAAACTGAATTGGGAGAAAAGTATTATAAACGCCACTTTCACATCACCTTAAATGAAATCTTCTCTTTAACCCTTTTAGTGCCGGGCGAAAAAGAGGTGCTTATGCGAAGATAACCGGCCGAATTTTACGATTTTACTAGGATTTGGAAAAAGGCTCATAAAAACCAAACGAAAAGCAATATTTACATAATTCAAAAAGTAGGGTATTAAGGACAAAATAGAGAATAAAACGGTGACGCTAATGTTTCTATATTCATTGAAAATTACATAAGTAACAGAGGTATAAGTGATCAAAAGAAAAAAAAGAAAAATTGAGTTCTCCGTTTCAAAACGTAATTGCACATAGGAAAAGTCATCTTTTTATCATAAATTTATATAGACCGTTTATTGCAAAGTATATACTTTAAATTTCCAATATATTTTTTAACAAAATAAGTAATATTACACAAGAAACATAAAAAATAACTCCAAGGCACATGGTAGGCGCCGGACGGATTATCTCATCCGAAACAAGTAATTGTTATAGGTTATAGGTTGTTATAGGTAGGTTATAGGTTGTTATAGGCGTTGTTGTATCGTTATTTTAATTCTCTCGTAACGAAATTAGACTATTTATAACGTATTATAAATTTATTTTGAGATAGAGATCTCTCGCAAAGCGAATAGTAAAGCGGTACAAGGTGCGGGCCGATATATCGGCTCTGGCACTAAAAGGGTTAAATACCGTCAAAATAAACAATAGAACTGATATAAAACCTAAAATGTGTATAATCCTATCGTAAACTGCTCAACTTTTTAACGTTTCATGGGGTAAGTATACACTTTTAGAGACGAACATTTCGTAATCATTTTTTTCTCAATATAGAGACATTGAGTTAAATGAAAACTTCTTTATAAATACAGTCAAAATAAATAATAGAACTGATATAAAACCTAAAATGTATATAATTCTATCGTAAACTGCTCAACGTTTTTACGTTTCATGGGGTAAGTATACACTTTTAATAAAATATATTGAACAGAGGAAAGTAGTATTATACACTGTTAAAGTGCAAAATGAAATTAGTTCCACTTTTTACGTGCAGATTACCTGGGTTAAAAGAATCGATGCGAACATCAATTCCGTCTCTTGTTGGTCCTTTATTATATCCGCATTTTCGTTCATCCCGAAAACGCTCGGCTGGGTGGCCATTGGCAACGACTTGACATATTCAAGAAACTCTTCATGTTTGGACACTTGGGGTACATAGTATATACCACTATCGTCGAATAAATAATCAGGATCGGAAACGACGTCTTCGCAATAAAATTTCCCCAGAATAGTGATCAGGGTCCTCCTGTCCCATTCATCGGTGACTCGTCCTCCGTAATTACACTCCCCTTTAAATGAAAAAAAAATACTATTAACATATATTTGTACTCGAAACACAAATATTCAATTTGTACATTAAAATATAGCATTTGAGATGTGTTGAAGATATAATTATAAAAAGCTAGAAATGAAGAAGTGGTAAAATAAGTTTCGGTAGAAAGAAAAATATGTCATCCATATTTTTCTTTTTACGCATAGCAAAGAGTGCACTGTTAAACAAATTATCGCAATTTTGAAACATTGTTTTTATATTTTATTCAGAGATGGTGTACTAATTTTATTTATATACTTCGTACACATACGTTATACACAAGTGCATTTATTTTTCTACGGAATTTCAAAACATTATGAATTTATTTAGAATTTTATATTAAATGTATACTAAATCACTAAACTTTATACTTGTACTACAATTTTATGTACTAAAAGCGTATGAATTTTATGAATATTTTTAACAGTGTAGGTGATATAAGAGACTAGGGCATCTTCTGAGACATATTAAAAACAAAGGTTATAAAAAAGGCGGTAGAGGTAATTCTAAACTAGACTATTGCTTGCAAATAATCAGGAGGGCAGGACGTAGGATTTTTAGAAAAAATGTTAATTATATAATAAATTAAAGTTAGTTCAACGTAGGAAAAGATGAAGATGCGTGTTTAATCAATCTTCGGACTGAGAACCTTATAATGATAACAAGCACACTGATATAACCTATTGGATAAAATGAGTAATTAGAAATATTGCATTTTCTTTCTCAGAACACTCTGCAATTGACATTACTTACTATTGACCCTGTACTATGACAAATGAAGGATAATAAATTTACCTGTAAGATACTTCAATGCAACGAACTGCACATCGTCGTACTGATCAAGGAACATCTTCAGTTGCAGGACACTGATGCGTAAGTCAGTTTCGTTAAACTCGTAGGCATTGTTCCACCCGATGGCTCCGAATTTCCTCCGTTCCTGGACGATCGCGTGAAAGAAAGCGAGAGCAAATAACAGCTTCTTGAAGGAGTCTTTCTGTTTAGAGGACTCAAAGAACTCCTCGTCGCAAATGGGATCCTGCGAGGTGAGAAACATAAAATGAGCGAATCTTCCCAGGAATTGGGGATCCTCATGACTGATCCTAAAGTGCACCCTCGCACCTGAAGAAAGGACCTCGTGATGTTCGACCGAAGTCCTTTGGGTGGCTCGTTTGTCATCTTTACTCCGTTCTGCAGGACACTGACAGGAAAATGATCCGCAGGGTAGCTGGTCAGCCAGAGCCGGAAATCAGGGTGAACCGTATCCGGGGTAAAATTCTCGCAAATCTAATAAAAAATTCCTAATCAAATGCCATACAAAAATGAACAGAAGATTCTGAAAGAAATATCCAAGAAAAGTGGTTTAATTAACAAACTGCCAATCACCGTCTCGTGTATAATGAATGCGTTCAATTCCTGAATTCACAGTTGTCCACTGTTTAACCGTTGATATTTATTAATAATTTCATTAAATATTAAGGAAAGGTCTCGAGATAATCGGCAACGTACCTTCTCCAGGACGGGCATCCAACTTTTTGCGAGGTGGCAATTTTGCAGGACAACCCAGGTGCCGTTTTTTACACCTTCGTCGATCAATTTGACAGCTATCGGACCCTGACCTTGCCCTAGAGACAAGGAGAATAATCTGTTAGTCCCGTATCCTTGGTCGTCGGCAAATTTAAGGAGAATCGCCGTGGGGTCGGCTCCAGGAGTCAGGACGAATATCAAAGGTATGCAACAATGAGAATCGGCATACGAAGAGGCCAAATCAAATGGCGGGGATTCAACAAACTGTCTTCCCAATTCATCTGAAAACGGAATAAACATTTTGTCATTGTAAATCCAAGTAACAGGGAATTCTTCCCGAATGAAGAAACTTTTAAGGTGAAGTGAAACACGTCGAGGAACTTGATCGACGTCGGGAAAAAAGATTTTTCGAAATACCTACGTTGCCAACGTTCGTTTTTATATTGACAGCTGTATCGAATTATATTGGGTATTATACTAAATGCCATACTCCACCTGTCGTTTTCGTACAATAATTATAATGAAATCGAAGTAAAACTCCAAAAATCCCCTGAATTCATGGTTTCTGAGGCCCTAATTGACTGCAGAGGGACCCCCTGCGCCATCTGTGATTTCCAGATCAACTAAATTTTCACTCCGAGACCTCATATTACCATTGTTATAGCATGGCAGCACATAAGATACTACTTTTGCCTTTATGCCATTCAAATGCGACTTTATCGATTACCAGAGTGTTCTAAATTGTCGTAAAATTGTCCTGGCACTTTCGTTTCTCATATTACAACCTGAAATAATTGTATATCTATTGAAATATGAGAGCACGGCGCCATTTTGTTCTGGTGATGTTATCCCAGTGTTATGCAATTGTAACATAGTCTGTTTGGTGGGTCAGTTAGAAGATTTGGTCTCTACCGACATTGATTAAGTTTCTCATCGGCTTTCGCTTCACCTTAAACGTTTACAGGGGGATATTCTCATTAACAATGTGGGTTATCCACCTTCAACAAAGTTTTGAACGGCAGGGACGACCTTGTCGGGCCTGATGCACCTCAACATAAGCATCTTCTCGAACCTGCTTAGTTGATTAAAGCGACCAGGAAAATCAACGTTGTAAGGTTCTTTATGATCGAAAATCATCCTCCAGTGATCAGTATCCTTGACGAACGAGTCTTTAAGTCCCTGAAGACATGAATGCCTGTTAAGTCTCGAAGTGGGACCAGCTGGAGAACATTATACCTCGAAGCCAGGAACGTCTTCGAGGCGGCAAAGCTCGTCCCAGGATTTAACTGGCAGCCATTTGGTAGGGTTGGGGTACGGATTGTCCAGGCCAACTCCTCCGGTCAGCAGAAACATCCACTGGGTCATGGACACCTTTCCCTGCTTGTCCAATAAATTCACCGTCAGGATCAGGGAGAACAGGAGCTTGTCCTTCTCGAAGAGAGACCTGCAGATGTTGACATAGAGCGAGTACGTGAAGAACTTGATGAGGTCCTTGATGCGCTGTTGGACGTCTTCGACGGGAGCGGTGTTCTCAATGGTGCTCTTGAAGAGATTCACGAACCAAACCAGAGAGTACTGGTACATAGGGTCGATATTCGCTAGAACAGCTAAAGAAAAAATACCCAAAATTATTATATCCGAACACATTCATGGATCATTTCTCGACTTTCTATAAACAAAATCTCCAGGCAGATAGCTCAGTGACGCATATTGATGTTGAGGTGTAGTGAAACACCTAGAGGAACTTGATCAACGACGGTAAAAAAGGTTTTTCTAAATACGTACGTTGCCGACGTTCGTTTTTATATTGACAGCTGTGTCGAATTATATTGGGTATTGTACTAAACGGCATACTCCACCTGTCGTTTTCGTACGATAATTATGAAGAAATCGAAGTGAAACTTCAGAAATCCTCTGGATTCATGATTTTCCTGAGGCTCTAATTGGCTGCAGAGGGACACCTCGCGCCATCTGTGATTTCCGTGTCAACTAAATTTTCACTCCGAGACCTCATATTATCTTCGTTTTAATGTAGTAACGCATAAGACACTTTTTTTGCTTTTGTCCCGTTCAAATGCGAGTTTATCGATTACCAGAGTGTTCTAAATTGTCGTACAATTGTCCTGAATCTTTCGTATATCATATTAGAGCCTTCAATCATTGTATATCGATCGAAATATGAGAGCGCGACGCCATTTTGGTTCTGGTCTGGAGTGTCGAAAAATTTTGTTCAAAAATCCAAATTTTGAAAGTGTCAGGATAATTCCTAGGTGCTTACGAGTCATGTGCCAAAAGTTTGGACAGTTTGATCCAATACCCTTTGAAAAAAAGTGTCTTAATCGAAACGACTGATTTGAAGGGGGTTTCACTTCACCTTAATCATTTTCCAGGCATCAACAACTGTCAACCCTTTAAGCCACTAACTAATTAGGCATGATTCTTCCTTAATTTTATAAGAGGAACACTGATCCGTAGTTCGGTCCCAATGTTGAAAAAGACAAGTGTTAATAGGAAGATTTTGAAGGAAAAGATCATTTTTCGGACAATTAGGCCAAAATACCGAATTTTATGAAGTAGGATCAAATAGGCTTCATCCATTTCTAAGTTTCAGCAATTAAGTTCCAGGAAGCTCCTTTAGTCGGAAACTAATTACCCCAAGATCTTTCATTAAAGGTAGATGAGGAACACTGATCCGGAATTCGGTTCCAATGTTGAAAAAGAAAAGAGTTAGTACGGTGATTTTGAGGAAAAAGATCAATCTTCGGACAACTAGACCAAAATACTGGATTTTATAAAATAGGATCTAATAGGCTTCACCCATTTCTAAGTTTTAGCAATTAAGTTCCAGGAAGACTCCTTCAGCCGGGAACTAATTACCCCAAGATCTTTCATTAATGCTAGATGAGGAAATATTGGTCCACGGTTCGGTACCGATGCTGAAGAAGAGAACAGTCGAATAAACGGCGATAGGTAAGTACTGCTGCCTGGCTTCATCGATCGACTTCTCCGTGACCTCGGCAGCAGCCTGCTTGGCTTGGATTTCATTGGACAACGTCTTCGAGGAGCTGAGCACCCCGATAGCCGATTCGTCCTCCAGGATGTTTTCGTCAGACGCCGAAAGGACCTGTAGAATCCTATCTTCTATCTCTTTCAGCATCCTGAAAGCACCATGAAATCATATATGGTTCATGTTTCTAAAAGCTTCGACCGAAGCACCCACTTTTTGTTCGTAGCTCCCTGGATGATCAGCTGATTCTTCTCGTGCTCCAGATCCGGCTTCTCTTTTGCCACCACAATGCCTAGGAGTTGATCTTCGAGGCCGACTGGAGTGATCATGAAGTTCAGCAAAACAACCTTTACCGCCACCTCGGGGAGGTAATGAGGATTGCGCAATTTCGTCGTAATGTAGAAACTGAAAAGAATTTAAGTGTCTTTATTATTTTGTTCAACCTGTATTGAAACGTACTCCAAGTGTAAGTCACGCCCGAAATGTTACGTTTATCGCTCATTAGTATCCTTTGTAGATAGCAAAAGTCTGGAAAGATTGCTTAAACAGAAATTTAAAAAACAAACTTTGTGGTTCAATATTGCTTGCACGCCCTGATGAAATTCGCCCGTACGTCAAAAGTGTCTTTCTTATTTTGTTTAACCTGTATTGAAACGTACTCCAAGTGTAAGTCACGCCCGAAATGTTACGTTTATCGCCCATTAGTATCCTTTGTAGATAACAAAAGTCTGGAAAGATCGCTTAAACAGAAATTTAAAAATCAAACTCTGTGGTTCAATATTGCTTGCACGCCCTGATGAAAGTCGCCCGTACGTCAAAAGGGCTTAGTACTCAAAGGGCTAAGCATTTGCTATTCGATTCTCTATGGCAGGCAAATATTTCGTAATTAATATTGATTGTACAAGATGGGCCTTTTATTTGCTTTAGACCTATCTTTGGAATAACTTTTTATTCCATGCATCAAATTTCAAAAACTGTTTTTGTTTGAAAGCTCAGTCTACCCCAAATCGATTATTATAAAGTTTCCCAAAGACAACTTGAAAATCTGAATTTATACGGATCTTGTTTCTTATCGTTCATCATTTTTAAATTTTACGTTTATAAATTATCTTTGAGAAAAATGACTTTTGATACTTTTTTTTTTTCAATTGAAATCCTTCATGTCAAGATAAATTATCTACGGGAAAAGTTTGTACCCATTCGACTTGCTATAAACTGAGCTTTCAAACAAGAAGAAACTCTTGAAATTTGGGGCACACAGTAAAAATGTATTGAAAAATTGGATTTGAAACGAATAAAAGGCCCACTCTGTACTTCGTACCCGCACACCTCTCTGCGCATATTTCCCGAAAAAGGGAACCGAAAAAAATCTCTAAAACAAATAAACAAAATTTCGAAAATCTAAAAATCTAAAAATCTAAAAATAGCAGGGTCCATTTATATCCAAGACATTTCCCGAGGTCTGGAAAGTGGTATCGCAATGTCCTTGGTACATCATGAGGCATTTGCTACCTGGTCCCCTGGAATAGCAAGTACTTCACGATTAATGTTTCCCGGCACATTTGTCCTCGGAAAGAAAAATCCGCGGCGCTCGCTAAACCTTTCGGATTCCGCGCTTATCTAGGAGACAAACTACCGAAACTTATCGCTGTACTCGACGACGGAGTCGCCGAGTTTGATGCACAATGCGCCCTGGGCCCTGAAGGTTTGCATCAGCAAGAGAGGCTCCAGAGCGGCGTCGAGCTCCTCCCCGACGTTCTCCAGCAGGACCGGTTGTCCAAATTGGATGGCGTTCTCGAGGATCCTCATGTAATCCGCCTGAACGAGCCTGATAACGTGTAAATTGGCCTCCTTCTCCATGTTCTTCACCCATTTGTTGGCCTGTCCCTGGGGGTCGATCATCAGCGGCCACCGCCTGGAGTTGGTCACGATGATGCCGTTGTCCACGGAGAAGGGGTCGCTGGGAAGCCCGAATATGTTCCAGGACCTGATGAGCACCTGGTCCCCGAGTACCTGGACCAGTTGGAAGTCCTCCGTGCAATGCACCTGCAGCCTTTTACATATCTTTATCCAGTTCCTCAGCTGCTGCTGGCGAAACTGCATGGTGAAGACGCCGAGGTAGGCGACGATCCCGGACCCGATCAGGACATCTCCGGTCAACTGGAGATACAGCTTCCCGAGGTTCTTCGCAGTTTCCGACCACCTATTGTACTCTCCACCCAGACCGCCTATCAGCTCCTCGGCCCTCCTCAGTTTTTTCTCGCAGGCGTCTACCTCGTCGGTCATGGCTTGGTAATCCGCCCTTCTCTGTTCCAGCAGCTCCTCCAGCTTAGTGAGTCTATCTTGGACCTCCTTTAGCTGGGCCCTTTTCACTTCCAGCTGGGCCATGGCCTCGGCATAGGTGGACTCGGCCTTGGCCAGGGCCCTCTTCTTCGGGGCCACCTCTCGGGCCACCACGTCGTACTCCGAAAGGGCGAACACCCATTTGCAGAGACCCTCGCAAGCCGTCGAGGCATTCCTGATCTTGTCCGGGTCGAAGTTCGGGTTCGTTAGGATCGACGTGCGGATCTTGGTGATGATCCTCTCAGGGATGTTGTCTTTATCGAAGGTTAGGAGGGATTCTAGGAATTTCATGTCACCCAGGAGTCTTAAGGAGGGCTTCCAGTAGTCCTCGACCATCCTACCCCCTTCGCCAGGAACCCGGTCCGGCTTTGCGTCCTGTTAAATTTTCAATTTGTACTACAAGGTTGAACGGATAAATAAGATATAGGTGAGAGGGGTCCACGATTAAGCATCAAAGTCTGTATGCCAGGGTTTACGTCGGCTGTTCTTGGGGACAGCGAGATCCAGAGTAAGGCTTCAGGTGATATGAAAGGGTCATTCCATACATATAAATCATCAAAATAAAACTTTTCTCCAAACTGGGTGCACCGAATTATTTGAAACCCCAGCACATGATTATGAAGGCCCTAAGGAAGAACGCGATGCTCGTGATATTTCGTCTTTAAAAAAAAATTTTCTATTTAGCCTAGACTAGAACCAAAATCACATTTTTGTGTGAAAATTAAATTTCACGAGCACCACGTTCTTCCTCAGGGCCGCTATAATGACGTGTTAAAGTTTCAAATGATTCGGTGCACCCAGTTCGGATAAAAATGTTATAAATATTTTTACGTTTACGTAGAATCACCCTTTAATATCACGTTAATAGTTTGTATCGTGTTATGTGTGATACCGAAATGTCATAGCTACCGCGAGAGACGATAACTCTAATTTGAAAACTTTAGTGTTCACGATACAAATCACTCCACTTATTTTGAATTTTTCGAGGAAGTCTTAAATATAAATCTTTCAGGGAACGTACCGCATGAAATATTTTTAGTTTTGCGCCATTTTAGATTCTACAATACTTTGTATTGGAGAACTTTGAGAAACTGGGGATACCTTCAATATGCATATGGCCTCCATGACGAGCTTCACTCCTGCTGGAGGATTCTTCATGGTCTTCACTATTTGGATGTCCTGAGGGGTCAAGGTGTTCAAGGCGGCATTGGCAGCGTTCAGAATTGGCATCACTTGTTGCAAATCGGCGTCGCATTCCGTCCTTATAGACTCGGCTTCGTCAGCCACGGCCTTGAATGGATCAATGCATTATCTTCATCGAAATACCATTAAGGTGAAGTGAAACACGTCGAGGAACTTGATCGACGTCGGTAAAAAAGGTTTTTCTAAACACCTACGTTGGCGACGTTCATTTGTATATCGACAGCTGTGTCGAATTATATTGAGTATTGTACTAAATGGCATACTCTATATGAGCCGCTCTGAGTGCACACATTGATTAACTCCATAAAACAAAAAGTTGAGAAATGCGATGAAGTAATGTAGATTCTTTTTTAAAATTCCTATTATAATATAACTTCAAATATATAATGTAGAATACATCAATACAGTTATAGTTTTCATCTAACGGTATATAAAATTAATAAGAAAGAATAGCCAAAAAATAATCGTCTGCATTTTATATCGACAAATGTTTTTGCAGGTATTAAATTTCCTCCCCTATTCCTGTATGCCAAACCTTTTGTTCCGTTATGCTTTTGTAAATTTCGTGCCCATTTATCAGGATTACGACTTCTTTTCCTCCCAATCGATGTGTTTGTTGGGGAATTTGTACCGTTGCAATCGGATGAATCCGAGAAACACGATAAACGTCTTCTTGCCCCAGACTTTCTGCTGATAAATCGTATTGAAGAATCATCCCTGCTTTCCACATCCACATTGTTATTAGTTTCACTCATCTTGATTATAACGGTATAATATTTAGTTCTTTAAAAACAATCAGGGAGTAATGTTGAAAAGACCAAAAAATATGTAGTCCGTGTAATATTGGTGAAGTATACTGTAACATTCAGCGTCAGAGATCACCGTTATACTAACTACCGTCTGCATTGCGCTTCTTTCTATCTGTTTGCTGATGCGATTTTATTACTCATATTGTTGAAAGGGGGAAAGCATCTTCGGCTGTTTAAAAAAAAAAGCGTCGATGTACGACCGCAACAGATAATCCGATAATACTATACTGCCAGGTATTCGTCTACGATTTACGTTAGAGGATGGAGTTAATCAAAATGGCTTCTGAAATAAATTACTTATTATTCAATGCCCAACAAAATTTTGCCGTTTAATGGTGTTAATCTCTATTAATTAGGAAAGATATTATAAATATAAAAAGTTATGACTATACCAAGTGCTTTGACACCTAAATTTAAGATTTTTCAAAAAGTGGGGTTAGTCAATGTGTGCACTGAGCGGCTCATATGTCGTTTTCGTACAATAATTATAAAGTAATCGAGGTAAAACTCCATAAATCCCCCGAATTCATGGTTTCTGAAGTCCTAATTGACTGCAGAGGGACCCCCTGCGCCATCTGTGATTTCCAGACCAACTAAATTTTCACTCCGAGATCTTACATTACTATCGTTTTAGCATAGCAGCGCATAAGACACTTTTTTGCCTTTATTCTGTTCAAATGCGAGTTTATCGATTACCAGAATGTTCTAAATTGTCGTATAATTGTCCCGATACTTTCGTTTCTCATATTAGAGTCTTCAATAATTGGATACCGATCGAAATATAAGAGCTCGGCGCCATTTTGGTTCTTATCTGGGATAAGTTACAAAATTTTTTCTGCAAATCCAAATTTTGAAACTGTTAGGATAATTCCTAGGCGCTCACGAGTCACGTGTTCAAAGTTTCAGACGGTTCTATTCAATACCCTTGAAAAAAGTGTCTTATTCGAATCGACTGATTTGAGGGGGAGTTCCTTTACCTTAAGATGATATGATAGTATCATTCCATAGATCAGAACGTCAAGATATTTATAAAACTTTTCTCTCAAACTGGGTGTACCGAATCATATGAATCATTAACATGTGATCATGAAGAGCCTAAGGAAGAACGCGATTCTCGAGAAATTTCATTTTTCGAAAAAGTAACTTTTTTATTTATCCTAGACTAGTTCCAAGATTACATTTTTTTGTAAAAAATAAACTTTCACGAGCAACGCGTTCTCTCTTGGGGCCTCCATAATCACGTGTTAAAGTTTCAAATAATTCTGTGCACTTAGTCTGGAGAAAAGTTTTATGTTCTAACGTTTCATATGTATAGAGAATGACCCTTTCATATCACCTTAACCCTTTAACTACGGCAAATTTGACCGTGGAGCTGTACCGCTTCTACGGATAGTTCGACCGCTAAGTGCTCGTATTTGATATGAATACGATAATCATATGTCGTTTTGAATCCATGAGAATAAAGGGGGCTCCTGTAGTGGCACTTTGTAAAAAAATATCGATCACCACTTTAGTAACGATTCATTAAAAAAAAAACATCAGGCAGACGGAAGCAGCATAGTGGTGCTTCGTAACTAATTGTAAGAGGTTAAGGTGATGCGAAAGGGACATCCGAGAAGTCTCGTTTATGAAACTTTTCTCCAAAGTGGTTATACCGAATCGTTTGAAATCTTACCACTTGAATGTGGAGGCTCTAAAGAAGATCCTGACATCCATAAAATTTCAATACTTTAAAAACTCGTTTATAATAATGTATTTAATTTTTGTTTAAGAAATGAAATTTCACGGTTGTCAGGACCTTCCTTAGGAGCTCCACATTCACATGATATAGTTTCAATCGGTTTGGTATAACCCATTCGGAGAAAAGTTTCATCAACTATTTACCCCTCCACATGCCGCTTTCATATCATCTTAAGGAGATGTGAAAGTGGCATCCGAAAGGTCAATCGTTTATGAAACTTTTCTACGAACCGGGTGTACCGAATAGTTTCAAGCTTTACAACGTGAACGCGAACGCTGTAAGGAAGGTCCTTACCCTAATAAAATTTCATTTTTTCTAACAAATTTTGAAAATATCTATAAACAGATTTTCATAAAGATGAATATTTCTATGTGTCAGAACCCTCCTTACAGTCTCCATATTCACACTATCTAGTTTGAAATGATTCGGTACACCCAGTTTCATAAACGAGGCCCCTTTGACGCCACTTTCACATCACCTTAATGACTCCTTAATCTTCAGGAAATTTACCACACCCTCCTATGTATCAATAATTAAATATAAATTAACTTATTCAAAACCAACGACGTATCACGGGATGACCCCTCAAGATATCATTATCAACGTTTTAAAAAAAGGTGGTTCACTTTATACAAATAGTGAAATATTGAGTGACCCTTTGGATACCTTCGCAGCCTCTTCGTCTTTCTGTACGATTTTCGCGATGGCCTCCACCTCCTGGCTCTCCGACTGGACGCTGAGGAGCATCGCTTCGACATCCTTGGCAGCTTCTATCAACTTGGGCTGCAGAGCTACCAAGGTGTCCTGCATTTTCCCTACTTGCCTGTGGGTTCCATCCAGCTTCCCCAGGCCGGCCTCGTACCTTCTCTTCCCTTCCAGGACCTCCCCTCGCTTGCGCGATAAGAGCTCCTTGAAGGTATTTATCAGCTCCAGATACGAGGTCGGAGTGACGTAATTGTGCCTCCTGGCTCTCACCAGGAACTCCTCCGAAAGGTCCTGGCTCGATGTGTGGAAGTACTGGCACATCTCGATGCAGGCGTCCCTCTCGCGACCCGGAAGCTCGATTTCTCCCAGAAACCTGATGAACCGTTTCCGCGATATAGGATCTCGGATACCCATTACGATCTAATTGCTACACCCTGACGTTTCAAATTAAACCGAGTTTGATTGGAATTTTATCTTACACCGAAAGAAGAAAACCACTATCTACCCCGTTAAGATGATATGAAAGGCGCCGGGAAATTTAATTCACGTCGATAAAACACAATTTCTCGATACCCTTTTTGGTGGTAATGCCGTTTTGAATACTCAAAGGGGAACATAAGCCTCGTTATCGACATTTATATTTATGTGGAAGCCTTTTATAGTCTAAGTTGAGAATTATACCAAATGAAACGTTCCATGTGTCATTTTGATAA